GCTTCAACTCCCAGAGTTCCCCAGCCAGCATGCTTCAAGATGGCTGGACTTCAATTCCTAGAGTTCCCTAGCCAGAATTCTTTAAGATGGCTGGTCTTGAATTCCCAGCATTCCCAGCCAGCCATGAAAGCTGAGGAATTCTGGGAACTGAAGTCTGCAATCTTAAATTTGTCAAGTTTGAAAAACAGCGCTCTGCAGTTTGTTCTTCGGGGACATTCAAGTTGAAATTTTGGAAATGCTGAAGATTGAACTCCAGGCCTTCTACAAGTCAATTTTTTCCCTTCAAGTTGTGATTCCTTTCTAATATTAACATTTGGGGAGTTTTTTTGGCTCAGTTTTCCTAAGGCTCAAAATCAAAACCATCTCTTGTGCCAAGAATCGGTTCCCTTCATTGTAAATACCTAATTGTAGGTAGATGCTGTTCTTAGATGCTGGTAGATTGTGGCCTTAGGCCCACAGTCAAGGAACCATTGAGCAAACATAGCTGAGCAACCCTTACTTTGCAACCCATAAATGAATACCCAGATACGGTCTCAAGAGAAGAACCATCGGGATCATAATCTGAAATACGGGTAGTCCTCAGTTAATGACCACTTGCTCCGTGACTATTTGAAGTTACGACTGCATTGTACAAGTGTGTTCCTGCCCATGACAAACTCTCTGTAGTTAATCACCAATTCCTTTATTAGGAATGTCGGCAGCCCCAGGGAAAAAGTTTCTCTCACAGCAAGCTAACAAGTCTGGTTGTCTAGGAGATGAATAGTTGTTTGCCACATCTATCCATCTCCACCCCCTGCCTTTTATCCCCAGAGCTTGGGTGTGGCTTCGCTAGCAGTGATGGCTCTTCCGTCCCGAGGACCGGCCCATAGATTTCCACTGCTCTCCTCTCCTCTGCCTTCTGTGCATCCGCGCGTCATGCACTGGACCCAGCTGTTCCTCCTCTTCCTCATCAGCCACCTCCAGTCTAGGGGGCTGTTGACCTCCATAGGAGGGCTGACGGGGGGCCCAAGCTCTGCCTCTCTCTCTCTCTCTCTCTCTGATAGTTCCACTCCCTCTTCCCCCTCAAAACTCTCAGGTTGCCTTGATGCTGATCCCGACTCCCATGCTGCCTCCACATCTGATTTGGCTGCTGGAGGGGGCTGGTGACCGACAGGCCCCAACAAAGTGATCCTTGGAGGTTCTGGCTATCCCAACATCTTGCACTCACATGATCATGATTTGGGCATTCGACAACTGGCTCACACTTATGATGGTTGCAGCCTCCTGTGGTCATGTGATGACTATTGTGATGTTCCCTGCTGGCTCCCACACAAGCAAAAGGCAATGGGGAAGCCAGCAGGGAAGGTCACACTCTGGTAAGTCACTCACACGCCAGAGGTTTTGTTTTGCACTGAGGGGCCCAGCTATGGTGACTGCAGGAGCACGCCCCATCTGAGCACCTTGGCACACCTGGAAGGAGCCACCCCAGTCCTGCCATGCTTGCACCCTCATGCACCAGGCAGCAACCGCTGGTCCTGTGCTTGTGCTGTGCCAACCTTGCACACCCAGCAACACACCCAGTAACTGCCTGCAAGAGTGCTTACAAATGACTGGGAACTTTTTGACTTCCCGCAGGCTTCCCCATTGACTTTGCTGGTTGGAAGCCAGCAGGAAGTTACAAGGTCCTCCCTTAATAATCCACAATCCCCTTTTAATTACAGTAACAGGGGAGGGCTGGAATTGCTGTCGTGAAGCAACGCAGTCACACAACATTGCCCTTTATGATGACATCACTTAGCGATGGAAATTCCAACCCCGTTGCTGTCATAACCTGAGGACTGTACATTAATATACTTACATTGTGATCGATACCTGTTTTTAAGGCAATGGTTTTTGTGTGCTGTGGAGAAATTCCTAAATCCCCTTATTGGGGGGGTCTTCCAATTCACTTTTTATTTAATCCAGTTCTCAGATTTGCTCCTTTGTGTAAATACAGGTAGTCCTCGACTTACGACCACAATTGAGCCCAACACTTACGTTGCTAAACAAGACATTTTTTGAGCTTTGCTCCATTTTACCACCTTTCTTGCCCTGGTGGTTAAGGGAATCACTGCAGTTGTTCAGTTAGTAACCTGGTTGTTAAGTGGAATCTGGCTTCCCCATTGATTTTGCTTGTCAGAAAGTCGCAAAAGGGGATCAGACATGACTCTGGGACGCTGCAACTGTCACAATAATATTAATATTAATAATAATAATAATAATAATAATAATAATAATAATAATAATACTAACAACAGTATTTCTCATGAAATACTTCTGGACTCGCTCAATTGTATTAATGTTTGATATGCAGGGTGGATTCCAGACTGATAAACTGTATTCGAGTATTGGTCTGGCAAAAGTTTTGTATGCTCTAGTTAGCAATTTGATATTTCTGGAGGAGAAGCTTCCTAAGATTAGATTTACAACTCTTAATGCCTTTTTGGCAATGCTGTTACAGTGAGCTCTGGCGCTTAGGTCATTTGATATGAGAACTCCAAGGTCCTTGACAGAGTGAGGATCATCAACGAGGTCATATCCGCCTATTTGGTATGTGGTGTGCTGATTTTTTTTACCAATGTGTAGGACAAGGCATTTGTTGGTCAAGATTTGGAGTTGCCAGATGTTTGACCATTCAGATACATAATCAAGGTCGCTTTGAAGGATAGTAGCATTGTCAGTGGTGTTGAATAGTTTTACATCATCCGCAAAGAGGACACAGTTGCTTATAAGGTGATCGCAAAGGTCATTTATATAAAGAGTGTGGGTTCTAGAAAATGCTGCCTTAGAGCACTATTAGCTGGAGCAGGGTTAGAAATAGCACTCCCTAATTTTACTATTTGTTGCCTGTTCGACAGGAACACAGTAACCCACTTATGGAGGGATTTGGAAAAGCCGTAAGAGTTTAGTTTTAACAGTAGTTTGTCGTGTACCACTGAATCAAAGGCTTTGCAGAAGTCTATGTAAATTGCATCTATAGCTTTACCCTGGTCAAGTAGAGTAGTCCATATGTTTTTGCAGTGTAGGAGTTGTAGATTGCAGGACAATTTTTTCCTGAAACCAAATTGTTTTTTGGAGTGTAGGTTTTTTGACTCTAAGTGGAGAGTGATGAATTGGTTAATGATTGAATCCATGACTTTGCACGTGACACAACACAGTGAGATTGGTCTGTAGTTTTCAACCAGGCTGGGGTCACCTTTTTTGAAGATAGGGATGACCGTAGCTAAGGACCATAGGTTTGGTAAGGAGCTGGCTCTGAAAAATATCCCATATATAATGCTTAGGGGTTCCGCTATGGCAGAGGAGAGCTTTTTTAAAAAGTATGCCCATAATCCATCGGGGCCAATAGATAGGGATGGTTTTAGTTTCGTAGTGCCTTTTCTACATTATCTTCTGTAAAGTCAATAGGTAGCAGGTCATTACAGTTAGTTATGGTACGATTAGGAAATGTGGGGCATGAACCATTGCTGTTTACAAATACACAAATACACAAATACACACATACACACACACACACACACATTATATATATATATATATATATATATATGCATTAAAGGCCTAGACAACGCCCACATTGTCCCGTTTGTCGAGAATGAAATTCCATCATTTTTATCAAAACTTCTTAAGCTCAGATACAAATAGAAATAAAGTCCATTTGAAAGAGGATGAGAAGAAAAGAGAATTTGGAGCCCCACCTGGTGAGATGGGTGGTATAGAAATTAAAATAAAGAAATGAAGTCAATAAAAGAAATAGTAAAGAAAAAAAGAGGCAGTGACTTCCAACTTTTTTGATGCATTATATACAGGTACAGAGAACTACAACTACAGGTAGTTCTCAACTTACTGTCAACTCATAAAATCTTTCTATGGTCTTTTTAGAGTTGCCAACAGTGCGGCAGTTTGCAAACCACAACTGCATTCCATAAATGTTTTCAAAGATAGTAACTAGGTGACCATTTCATTGAGTGGCTGTCCGAAGTTACAACGGCCCTGAAAAAAGGGGCTTACGAACGTTTTTCGCACTTGCAACCGTTCCAGCATTCCCCATGGCCACGTGATCAACATTCGGCCGTTCGGTAATCTGATTCATATTTATGATGGTTGCAGCACCCCGGGGTCAGGCGGTCTCCTTTTACGACCTTCAGACAAGCAACGGGGAAGCCAGGTTCACTTAACAACCACTGTTACTAACTTTAACAGCCGCAGTGATTCGTTTAAAAACTGTGGCAAGAAAGGTCATAAAAATGAGACAAAACTCGCTTAGCAATGGAAATTTGGGGCATTATTGTGGTCGTAACTCAAGGACTATCTATACAGGTTATCCTCCTCTTCTCCCTTCCTCCCAAGATAAACCCATTTCTACAAGCTTTTGGTATCTTTGTGGGGCTGAAGAGGCCAGAAAGGGGAGATTCTGGAACTGAAAATCGAAATCTCTGCATTTTTTTCCCCCTGCCTCGAACCTCAAAAGCAGCCAAAATCTGAC